AGACAACCACCTGATTAAATTCAGCAAAAATTTTTTTATTTAAAGACTAAGAATTTATAAAATTTAAATAAAAAAAAATTCAGTCAGGTGGTTGTTGGGATATCTTCATTATTTTTGTTAGCGTTAGTAACTAGATAATGTACCAAATCCTGTAATTACCGACAGCTGCAGATCATCGGAAAATCTCGTGATGTACCTGGCTTTAAGCGACCCCCATAATTGGAACGTTCACCCCTGTTGGTTACACGGATTATGTGATCCGAAATTTGTATTTTCGTAAAAATGCGGAAATTGAAATGTCACGTGATCACACATGTAGCTGAGTTTAAATTTTTATAGTCCGCTTTTATTTGGACTTGGGTGGGTGGGTAGAAGAGAGTAGCAGGTGAGTAGGTGGGTGGGCAAGAATTTTTAACAATTAAGTGGTGGGTGAAAATTACTTAGACGGGAAGAATATGCAACGAAAATTTTGGCAAAAAAAAGAATTATATGTATAGAGGGAAAAAAAGTACGTATTAATTGGAAATAGAATGTGCCGTGAAAATTCAGACAAAGAAATTCTAAGAAAGGAACGGAGGTACTGAAGTGACTTAATGTAAAAGAATGCTACTGTTGGTGGAGGTAAGACGACGCCAAAGTGAATCAAAGATATAGAATGCTACTGGAGTTAAGAAAGACGTCAAAGTGATTTAAAAAAATGCTACCAGTGAGAAAACGCCGAAGAAATCCAAGAATCCAAGAATCTAAGAATAAAAAGAATTCAAAAGGTCTTTTACTCAATTTATTTTACTCTCTTGTTTTCGTTAGGTTGCAGCTTAGATGATAATCGATAGGTTACGCACCTCACCTAACGATCTACATCTGAGGTACGTCAGCTGTGATCTGAGACAAGCGTTAGGCAAGCGTTAGTCTGAGGCACAACATATATATGTATCTTCGTACTGTATCGTATCATTTCAAAATTTTATCTTCCGCACAGTACACTATATATGTATATTCACTTTACACGATCAGGAAGATCAAAACAAAACGTTCGTTTTTTCAAAAAATCGTTTATTTCTCAAAAATTTGCATAAGAAACCATCTTTTGCGCTCTAATAAAAAATTTTTGGGCAATTTTACTATATGACCAGCTAATGTTTAACCCGATCGTAAGCACTAACCCTAACTTAAACGAACTTAAAGATTTTATTGTGCGCCGTAACATTGTCACGTGAACGTGAAAATTTTGACGGCGATACTGGGGAAGATAATTTTGTTGCGATGCGATGCTGGTGAAGATAATTTTGTTGGCGATGCTGGGGAAGATGGCAGTTAAACACATGATAACGTGATTGTACACGATTCCCTTATAAGTAAATAAAGTAAATAAAGTAAATGATATTTGATAAAAACTGAACATAGTAAAAATGCTAATAATATTGCAAATGTTCAGTAGTTTGGATCAATTAGTTGTTATCCAAGTACATACGTACATGTTGCTAAACTAAAATTATATCCATATGGCTATGACACGTATTAACAATAAACGGTCAATAAATAATATTCTGAAAAAAATAGTGAAAAGTTTAAAACAAGTCCGGAGGTTATGATGTAAGAAATAAATAACTAGTCTTGAATCTTTAAAATATTTAAATATAAGACTAAGCAACTTGATTTATAATTCTATTTAAAATTGGCCTTATGTGTTGGGCTCTATTTTATTAAGCAAAAATCAATAATTGGTAACGTTTATATCCAATTAATTAAGTGGAACTGGCAATTTCTAGTTTTTTACATTATTTCACATTAAGGTCATTATCTAGAATAAATAATTTGCACAACTAATGCCTTCGGGCACAAACATAATCATCACGTGTAATTGTAAACAAAGAAAAAAAAACAATAAAATGAGGAATTGAAAAAATAGTGATAATGTATGACATAAAAAAGCAACAAAGTATGAATATTTTCTAATGATAAAGTAATAAACTAAATCTATAAAGCTGATTAAAATCAATGTGAAAATTTAAATCTATGTTTATATTTATCTATGTTCATATCTATGTTTATATTAGAGCTGCAGGTGAAACTAAATCACACTGGTGAAACTGGTAACTATCTAAAATCTGATTGGCTATTGCATTCAATAGCCAATCAGATTTTAGATAGTCACCAGTTTCACCAAGTTTCACCAGCAACTCTAGTTTATATCTATGTTTATATCTATGTGACAAATATGACATCAACATTAGGTAAAATATTAATACTGTATCTAAAATCATATTAAGATAATATAATACCATGACGTATTAATAAACAATTATAATAAATTATAATGAAAGATGGAAATTATTTACTACGTGCAAATCCAACTTGTTTGTTTTCCACATCATATACAGAATATACATTCTTAAGGAATGTTTGACCGACAATCCAGACATCAGCGGTAGGAGAAAATTCCGAAGGTATAATAGCCGATATGCAATCAGTACCAGTTCTTGGTAAGAAAATTAAATCTCTGGATGGAATTGCATAATCAACACCTCCAAATCTAAGGGAAACTATTGCTGTGGTATTGCATGGGATAATGTAGATATTATTTTGACTATTAAATACGGCTCCTGGAATTTTTTCATGAATTGCCGCTGTGTCATTTGGAGGTGCAAAAATAACAGAAGTGCCTGTGTCAATTATTGCAGTAATATTCGGTGAAGAAAACACTGGATTGCCATCAACGAGTGCATTATCTTGCTTATTTCCCAAAATACATTTGTAGTAACTAAAGGATTAAATGTAATTTCTCCGTCACATTTACTTTTATCAATACCACCCAAAATAAGAATTCCTTTATCATCGAAATCTAATGCATGTTGAAAATGGAAACTAAAAATTGGATTCATTTTCTTTTGTTTAATTAAAGTACTGATTAAAGTTGGTGCTCCATTATTCATAGTATTCAAATTGTCAAAAGCTAGTCTGTTTCTTCAAAATTCATTTAGATTTCATCTTCGGTCCTAAAATTCCATCATATTCAAATTGTATATCATTATTGGATACATTAGTTGCAAGCCCAAAAACTTGTTTATCAGCAGTAAAACATCCAATTTTAATATTATCTATTCCGGTAATTCCAGAGGTAAAGCCAACGACGTATTCAATAGACCAAGGATTACCTTCTGGTGTAAAAGTTTGTGATTTACTTGAATCAAATCTATTATGATTTTGACAAATAGCGGATGTACAATTCTTATTTGGAATCCAGAGATTTGATGACCCGGTATCTAAAAGAACATTGAATTCTTGTTTTCCAATAGTGATTGCTCCATAATAGGTAGCATCTATCAGGATATCTTTTACAGATAAGGTGCATTGGCCTTTCTTTTTGTCTGAATCTATCTCGTTGGATATTGTTGCTACATCAGATGATATTCCATGCTTTAAAGTTGGTACATTGGAGGATGTTTCATTGTTAGGAGTTGTTCCATGTTTAGAAGTTGTTACATTGGAGGATGTTTCATTGTTAGGAGTTGTTCCATTGGAGGATATTTCATTTTTAGAACTTTTTACATTGGAAGTCGGATTAAAATCTTTATAGTTAGAGTATTTATGTTTGGCTATATCCCTTATATAATTTGCAAAATCAATTGAATCGTCGTCATTTGTCATAATAGCCCTTCTTTTTACTAACTCAATGGTAGGCAATTGCTTGTGATTAGGATATGCATTTATGATATGAACGGCGACTATGGATAAGATTATAAAAAGAAATTTTAATTTCATGGTTGCTATTAAGAATGATTACTATTAAAAGCGTATGAATCTTAATTTTCGGTAGATTATGAAAAAAAGTGAATTACACTAATTTCCACGAAGCTCTGAAAATGTTTGATTTTATTTCATTCTTGCGTATTACAAAAGTCTTTGGACATGTAAAATGATATAATAAATTTTCAACAATGCATGTAATATAATCTTTGAAGTTCATGTATGTAAAAGTCGTAATGTTAAATACTTATTAGATATGTGGTCTACGGAACCAATATGCGTCGGGATAAAGGTCTCGCTAATAAAAACCAACAGCTAACACTGCCCAAAATGCTAGGCTCTTACAGGGAAGACTTGCACCGTGTAATTAGAATTATAGCGACTAGAGCTCTTGATTACATTATTTCAAAAATGCCAATATAAATTAACTAATACTGTGTGAAGAGGGTACTCTGAAGATAGTATTGGTCATGTTAATTGACAATATAACAAGATCATTAATTCGGATTATGAACGTAATAAATTACTACTTGATTAGTTTTCAAAATGTTAGAATTTACAATTGAATAGATAATTTTTCAAGGAGAGTACTTATGCAGTGCTGTACAATAATTCTGGATTTACGGGTTGTGTCACTGTTATTATTATTATTATGAAAATTTTTAACGCATATTAGGATCCCATAGCAATTGTGAGTCGATTTTGAGCAAGTTTTGTAAAAATTTTGCATTTTTAATTTATAACCATAATTAGTCTGGAGTAAATTTATAGCGGTTTGTAATCCTAATTGCATACTGTCTAATTGCATATTGTCTAATTACATCTATTTGCTAAATGCATAAAAACTTTAAATTATTAACACAAAAATGCTTCTTATA